AATGTAACATTTATATTTCGCTAAGGTCAGTCAAAACTTAAAATGCTATGCATGCACGTGGGCCGACAGATATGTCCGGAAGTGTATTTTATATGGACACACTCACGCTATACCGAGCGGTAACCGAGTGACGGCCAAGCAACGGGCAACACTTACAAAATAACTTGTTCTCACCTCGGCTCGGCCACGGCCCGTTGCATGAAAGTAGCGCAAGTGCACTGAAGTTTTACACTATTTTTGCTCGGTCGAGGCTTGTCTTTGTAAATTACAGGCTCGGAGCCGATTCGGTGACCATGCAACAGCCAAACTAGACTCGGACCTGACACGGTCTAGTGTGAGTCATCCTTAAAACTCCCCTTCGGATGATCATTGGGCGACTAAAGCTAGGAATTGGTTTTAGGCGTGCCCGCACACCGTTGCGAGTATATTGAACACTTACTTTTATTTTCTTTCTAATTTATTGACCAATTCTTGATGTTAAACTTTCCAATCGAATTATTTGGACATAGTAACAAGACGAAGAAAAAAAGAAATCTTTTTAAGCGATATTTTGTGTGACATTAGTTGGTAGTTGTTATTTTCATTGTCGTCAAACTTGTTCTTTGTACGCAAGTTATGTAAATAAATATTTAAGAAACCCCTATGTCTAGTCATTAGTTTATCGTAGTTTTAGGTTCTAAGTAATGTATTTGTTAATTGATCTTTCCTTTCACATCTGTCATTATAAATAGATTTAGTATTGAGTAGCAGCTTTGTTTTAGTCTGTTACTGGGTTTGGATTATATGGCAAGAGACGTTAACGCTGACCGCTGACAGTACATTTTAGATCTTATTAACAAGAGCTAAGGGTTCTAAATAAAGATGGTTAGGTATGCAGGGATTGACGAATGTTAAGGAAGCGAAAGAGATGTGTCTTGATCGTAGGAGTAAGTGGAGATTGATTGTTTCTGCCAACCTTGCTACTAGTGAAAAGGTCATGACTTATGAGTTCACAATATATAGAATTTTTCGTCGTATTAAATTCCGGTTAACTGTATTGAAAAATGAAGCTATGCTCAGGACGCTATGTATTATGGCGGGTAGAGGATAAGCCGGATTGCATTATGGCTAAATTATATTTAGCCACAGTATATGTATACAACGTTTTTAAAAATAATTGACCAGATTATTGGCCACAGCTTTGGCAGTTTTAGTCCCATTTTCTGCCTGTCTCAACATTTACAATGGCATAGAATACATATATTTTTTTACTAAAATAACATTCGTATCGAGGTTACCTACATACAAAGCCATATTCTTTATTTAACGTTGTTACCTGCAAATTTACGTTGATCTCTGTTAATATGGTCCGGTGACTCTCTAAATTGTGAATCTTTTGTAAGCGTGTCGCGCAATAAGAATATTGTTAATTAATTACCCCTCCATTATACTTACACAAAACTGCTATGATTACATCAAAATAAAGCTGTAATCTACCTCTGACATCAATAATTGTTAAATACGACTATTTAATCATTGGCTCTTTGCACTGTGGTATTAAGGGTATTAGTCATCATAATGCATTTGGACCCATTCATAGTTGTTAATAGGTACTTATACTGAATATTATCAGTTTTATATTACACGTTATCTGTAATTTTTTAACGTCGATTTACAAAAGTTTGTTCGGTAATATTACACTTTACCTTCTTCAGGCCACGTTGTTTCATCGATACTAAAATTTTGCTATAGTTAAATCCTACAGAAAAATTTACAATTTGTCCAAATTTTACACCTTTATTTGACGTTGCGTTTAAGTATCGTCAAATTTTGATTTTGATAAAACAACACGAACTAAGTCTGACTTCTAGTCTTTAATACACATTGCGGTTAAAGGTTATAAAATTGTAACTGGCCTAGAAACACGCAAATGCTGTTTTTGTAACAAACACGCTTACTATCTGAGCATGCCGCGTGTGCTTATACGCCATTAGAGTCGCAAAAAGGGAACCAAGCAACCACTCCATGACAGTCCACGGTTATAATACACAAAAGCCTTTTTAACACCACCTGGACAATGGAGGAGCCTTTCTCACGACACAGCCACATGTCAGGTATATTTCCGAACCGCACCCTTTCATTTCCATCGGAGTTTCTGGGGCATGTAAGACGGTGATCGATCGGTCAAACGGCTACGGCTGGTGCCACCAGGTGTACTACATATTGATACAATTATCTATAACTTTGTACAGCTATCCTAATCGCTACAATACCTCTATCATACTAATATTTTTAATGTGGAAGTTTGATTATTCCGTTCAATAGTCATTTGTTTGTTACATGTTACTTAACGATTAACAAGACAAAATTCATGTTGTTACTGTTTTGACGACCTCCGTGGTCGAGTGGTTTGTACGCCGGTTTCATGGTGTCGCCGACTCGAGAGGTCCTGGGTTCAAATCCCGGTGGGGGCAGATGTTTGTGTGATGAATACGAGCATTTGTACTCTAGTCATGGATGTTTAATATCTATTTGTATATAAATATACTTATATATGTACAGTATATGTATTCTATCCGTTACCCTAGCATCCCATAACACAAGCCTTATAGTGCTTACTTTGCGGCTAGGCTAATTGGTGTGAGTGTTGGAAATATTTATTTATTACTCAGTTAATACTTAGATTCTCTACAATTTTGTCCTTATTCAAGGTGATATAAGTTTTTTTTATAATTATACAAGATCCGCTCGAGCGAAGCCAGTGGCAAATTCAAGCAACAATTAAATATTCAATTTTTCTTTCGAGTCTGTTACTATTTTTTTTTTGTCCCGGATTAATGATGATAATACTATACCTGACGCAAACGAAATTCCGAGCAAAAGCTAGTACTTATTTAATCTATAAATATCCCAAGTAACTGATAGAACTACCCCGCGATTGGTCTTAATTTCTGAACGTGGGTGAGGAATTGAAACTTTATCGTTAACGCTTAAGATATGGAAAGTGGGTTCAATAAATTGAACCACAGTATTTTTTTAGCTTCGATGAGTATTTTATGATGTTAAGTGCTATTGTGTTTTATTGTAACAAAATTATAAAGTTGGCTAGCTACGCTCTTATAAGTGAAGTATGTTTAAGCATTATTTTTCCTCCTCTAGTGCCGTATTTTTATATCATTTATTTTTCTCTTTAATTCTTAATAGCTTTACAAATCGCTTATTTATGAGTTTTTTTTTTACCAAATACAAAATATAAAAGTTGGAAAACATTTTTTTTTGTTTAATTTCTCTGAGTGAAATGGCAGTGGGCTAGTCATATATGGCGTAGACCAGATGTCTGTTGGAGCAAACGAGTTCTAGGGGGGCTGGAAACCGCAAATCGGCAAACATAGTGTGGGGTAACCCGCGGCTAGATGGAGCAACGATATCCAAAAAGCGGGTAATGACTGATTGCAATAACTATCTAATCAATTATTTTCTATCGCTGATTAGCGATAGAAAATAATTGATTAGATCGTACTCATCTATTTTCCCTAGGCAAAGTTGTTGGTCAAATTTGCAGACAGTAACACCCACCAATTTAAATAATACTTTTCATAAGCAAGACTAAGGCCCGTATTACAGAATGACAACTAAGTGTTGATCTTTACTTGAGTACAGTTAGAAAGGGATGTCGCATTGTGCTATATATAGCGACATCCCTTTCTAACTATGCTCAAGACTAGATCAATCACTGAGAATCATTCTTTAATACGGGCCTTAGACTTCTATGCTTTCAATTGAGAAAAATATTCAGTTAATAATAATTAATAAGCTAATCATCAAAAATTTGCATAAACAAAGCGGCATACGGGTCAGTATGTAGATCCAACCGCTACTAAGCTAATGAAATATGGAGAAAGCTTACACAGCCATACATACCTACAGACTTAGCTCACCAAGTGGCTTGTTGAAGAATCGATGGGATGTCCCAGAAAATAGAATAGAAATAGGGTGTGGCCACCGAATAGGTACCTATAGGAACACCGTTGGAAAACCGATCGCTATTTCATTCAAATTCTCATAAATAATGTTATATTGTGTCGCGACGCAAGTCAATTTTTCTATTCTCCATTAAAGTATAATCACCGTCATTACGGACCTATTTGACACTCAATGTTACTTTTATGTAACGTTCAATTAGTTACAGCCACATTATAGAAGAGCATTTGTAAAGTTGATTTATTTATCGAAGTTTTCTTTTCTGTTCATTGATATCCATGGTTCGCAGGTCACAATAAATATTTAAAATGCTGTATCTATGAGTTGGCTCATGCTTAAGTACTACACAGTCAGCTGCGCGGTACTTTAAGTATCCTACTGACAAAACCGACTGAAGCACGATTTAAATTTACGTCATTTGTACCGTGTAGTTACTATGATCTAGGAAGGCATAAAGTTTGTATGTATGTTTATTACTCAAGCACGCAAAAATGGATTTGGATTAAATTTAGTACACGTGTAGTTTATTACCTGGAATGTCACATAGGATGCTTTTTATCCCGAAAAATGTTAGGTTCCTAAGAGATTCTCTAAAAATTCAACTTGACGCGGATAAAGTCGCCGCCGCCGTCGGCCGCAGTACATTCTAGATTGTAAATATAAAGTATGATAACAATACTTAAGCTAATGCAAAGAGCACAAAGGGTGCTCTCCAGAACTAGGAGTTCATTGAAAATAAAAGTGCACCAAATTCTAAACCAATTGTGAAGTTGCTGTGAAATTTGTAAGACCGTTTTCTCAAATGAGAAATGAGCTGATGATCTTCAAACTCCTGAACAAGATCTTTATAATTATAGCTAAGAACCATTTCGATCATGTCAGCTTTCAAATGAAAAAACCGCATCCTAATCGGTCCATTCGTTTAGGAGCTATGTCACAGACAGACACACAGACTCACAGACAAACTGGCACGTCAAGCTTATAACATCCCTCTTTTTATGCCGAATGTTAAAAATAAGTACAAAAACACACATACTAACCGTACACATCGATGCATCCGATCTGCCACTTCATACTGGGCTGAGTGTTGATCTGGCACATGTAGCAGCCTCGGTCTTCCGCTCTCAAGGGCCTGATCCTCAGTTGCCAGGTCCTTGGAGCATCCAAGTTGACGGAGTAGCGCGCGCCAAGGACTGCTCGGTCATGCATCGTCAAGACGGTCTGGTCTTCCGCTCGGAGCCACCCAAGCTGAGAAAGAAAGTAAAAATCGAAGAACACGAATTTTGCTTGAGATAAATACATACTTCCAAAACTCATACCAGCTAGCCTAGTCCTAAAGTTAGCACTGTCAGGCTTGTGTTATGGGATACTATGAAAATACATAGTTAATGAAACATGTAAACACGTAAACAGTCTAAACAGCCATGACTTAGGTACAAAATTCAAAATTCAATAACGTTTATTCAGTTAAAGCTGTTACAAGCACTTGTGAATGCCGAAAAGATATGTCATCAGTTCACAAATCTACGGCGGGACACCTTGTACTGAGAAGAACCGAAAACAACTGAAATGCTCGTATTCATCATACAAACATTTGCCCCACGTGGATTCGAAGCCAGGTCACCTTGAAAACCGGCGAAAATCTCTCTCACACCACGAAGGTTTTAAAAAGAAAAGAATTAGTAAACCCATTTGGGGCAATCATCATCACCAGCCTATTAATGTTCCAACTACGGGGGCACAGGCCTTGCCTATATGGATGGAATAGGGAGATTGAATTGGGCCATGAACCACCACGTGGGCTCAGGGCGGATTGGTGGATGCTTCGCGCTCCTTCTGAAGCACGGAGAAACTAATAAAATTTTGTTCATCCATCTGATGAGTAGCCATTATGAAACTTTCACGTTCGCAGACGGGAGAAAACCGAAAAAGTTATTGAATTCCTTATTCAACTATGTATAAAACGTAATTGTATGGTGAGCATCGTTTTTTGTATTCATGCTAACTAGATCTTATGCATGCTGTTTGTATTAAACAAAAATAATCAAAACAACCGTTACCATAGAAATTTAAACATTCCCAACTGCACTATTGCTTGGCGTGCAACGTGGTACTAAGTAAAATACCTCTCAACCTTTTAGGAATAAAAGTCTAGTTACATAACCTGTGTTTTAAAATACGTCCATACTTTTAGCATTCAGTGCATGCCTTTGTATCCACGTCGTTGAGGGTAGGTATTCTACCCATACTACCGTAACGTGTCTTACTCGCCGCTTGATTTAATTCGGAGCCTCAGCAAAATCCAATGACCTCTAGGATATAATACCAAGGACCTTGAACCTTGAAACCTTGGTTTGAAAAATTCCGCGACTTTCCTAGGCATTACAATTATTAGCCGCGTCCTCCTTACCTCGCCAGTCTTTCTTTCTACATTAAGAATTCTAGACAGCTCCATTTGTGAGTCGGCCTCGAGGTAGGCACTGTAGTCCTTATTTTTTTCAACTACCAAAACCCACCCATCTCTATATTCTCTACTTCAGCCAAAACTCAACGTCCCGTTAAGATTAATATAATTTTAACAATGACTGATAAGCCTGGCTTTTTGTGTTTATGTAAATATATTAAAAAAGCGACGGGTTGCACTCCGGGAGCGCCGGCAGAAGTGAAAACTTGAATATTAAAGGTGTGCATTTTTGATATTTTGGAATGGTTAGGGAATAATTTTGCACGAATTACTTTAATTATCAGTATAAAAGTACTATCATGTAAGTGGAGAATACAATATTTATTTATTGCGCTATCGTACACAAACATGACAATTTATATTACATTAAAAAAGTTCATCTCTCAGAAAAATCAACTTACATGAATCACGTTTAAGCGCACTTAGCGACATCTATTGTTATGAAATCAACTTACATGAATCACATTTAAGCGCACCTAGCGATATCTATTGTAATAAAATGCATATTCTTCGCAATAAAACTGCCACGTGGACGTCCTAGATATAGACTTATTATTATAATACGGTAAAATAAAATATAACCATGTTTCGTCCAATATATTGAAAGTCTACAACCTTTCCAATTTTATTGTGTGTCATGATGCGATCAGCCCACGTGTCACGTCACAACGCCGCTAAAGAAGTTTTCACTTCTAAAATACAACATCAAACTTTAGTTATAAATAGCCTTTGTATTTTTTATTTCAAAATAATTGTTTGCTCTACCCATGTCATGTAAATTAACATTGATTAACCTGTGTGTGTGTGTGTGTTGTGCTTTCAGAAAAAGAACAGCTCAATGAAGAACGGATATCTGGTTATTTATTTATAGACTTTATACCACCATAATCTGTTTCTACCGAGCAGTCTTTCTCGCATCTCTCTCACTATGGGAAATTGGGAAATCTCTGTGTAAAACGGAGAAAGCCCCAGACACAAAGAAAAAACAATGACAATTGGTAACGCGAGTGTTTTATCTTCGAAAATGCTTATGCAGTTGATAATAAAATCACCCGCACTGAAAATGGAAGAGGAAAGAGAATGCTTCGCGATTGAAAGGTTTAATTTTGGTGATAAATAGGTTTCACCACTTTTTGTAAATTTCAACAGTTTCAACTTAACTGACAAATAAATTATCTTTTAGTGCAAACAAACTTCAAATAGGTAAGACAAGAATAATTTAAAATGAGTCAACCACCCAAAATATTGTTTTAATCACTGTTGTTTTTCATAATACAAATATTTATTTTATAGCATAAGACTTCTTGTTACTCGCAATACTGTTCACAATACAGCTACCGATATTGAAATTTGAAATTTAAAATCTTTCCTTCTTTCCCTCTTTGGCACTTATTGTGTTCGTGCCAAAATAATCAGTTGCCTACAAAATTTTCTTACAGTTGCTACTGTCTACTTGATAAAGAATAAATGATGAACTCTTAAAACATTTCTTTGAAAGTTAAATCACGGATTCCTCAAACACGGAAATAGGAAGCGAATATAACAGCGGGATATTTTTTCATAAATTTTCCATTATAATTATTCCGCCCGACCTGATGTTAACGTTTCAAAAGTTCAATGTATTTTGTACGGCATACGTGGTAAGGTTCCAGTAAGTTCATAGGTAGTTTTTTGTTTTATACAAAGTACAACATATTTTTGTCCATCGCTATCTTTCTCCTCCTCTTCCTATGGCTGTATGGATGATGATGGGGTGAAGTCATCGAAATTCTATTTAGTTCGTTAGTTACATTATCAAAAAAAATGCGTGTGCATCTCGGGACGGACGACAGAAAACTTAAACTATCCCTTTTTGAACACTGGAGATTGGTAGGTGAAATGGGGATTGGAACGTGAAAAGGGGATTGGGGATGTAGAGGGGATTCGAGGGTGAAAAGGAGGATTACAGGGTGAATGGGATTCAAGGGTGATAAGGGGATTTCCCGGAAGGGCACCCCAATTCACACTATGTTCACAGTGAACCAAGTACGAAGTATGATCAGTATTTCTACATAATAAAAATGACGAGACAGATGATGTAATGGTTAGCGAATTCGGTCTTAAAGGTAAAGGTAATGGGTGACCAAAAAATTTTATTTCGAGCTCCTTCGTTCGAAGGCACGTTCAGCTGTTGATTTCAGCTGCATCTGCAGCCTAATGTACCACTGCTGGGGCACAGGCCTTCCCTATGGATGATGAAATAGGAAGAATGGGCTGTGATCCACCACGCAAACCCAGTGCGGATTGGTGCTAACGACTGCAGACGTGCCGAACCACGGAGGAGCTCGAGATAGTAAATTTTTAGTCACCCATCCAATGACCGACCAGTGTGAAAGAGGCTTAGCTTCAACGATCGGATTCGGACGCGCTTACTATTTGCGCCATCGAGAGCTCCTCTTGAATCCTCTTTGAATTCTTCCTCATCGAAAAGGTGGGACATTTAGACTGATAATGATGACCAGTAATACGTAACCCACCAGATAAGCATAACGACAATTTATAATTAACGATATCAGCTATTAGTGTTGCGAACGTAACGACCCGTATCGGCCCATTATGGCGTAGGTATTCCGAACCAATCCCCGGCCGGCCATTAGAAATTGAAGTATTTCCGCCATTGCTTGTGAACGCAATATAACTAATGTAATAAAATTATAGCCTTTATTCTTACATTTAATTTTGAACGATTATTTATTAATATTATGATTGTATAGACCTTTCATTTTGAATGATTTATTTATTACTATTATGATTCTAAATTACCTTTGATTTGATGAATTCTCTTTTCAGTAGAAGCCTCTTTAAAAATAATTCAACTTGTGGCCTCACTTAGAGGGGTCTATTAATTTAAGGCTTCATTATGTAACGTTTGTCCCATGACATGGTTATCAGAAAAGAGTGAATACCTATTCCCTGGTCTGCGATACTAGCTTTTTTCCTCCCAGCGAATGTGAAATCCTCACGAGAAGCAGTAGCCGGCTGCAGTCTCTTACTGACCAAAACACACCCGTGGCCATAAAGGCCTTACAGGCTTCATCTGATGCGATCCCCTTCTCACGGGATGATACATCGCTGGCTTATTTAATAGGTAGTGCGCTAGAAGATGGGTGCACTCTGATTTGCGTATCGGATTGAGACACGCGATACTAGCTAATTTGGTTGACCTGTCATCGACAAGGTCACGACAGCGGAAACTGACTGGGTGAGGAAATCTAAACACTGAGCTTAATAGCCTTTTTTTTGACACAGGAAAAACCTGTATTTACAGACGACGGTGCCTTTAAGAGACACACCGCCGAATGGATCTCACACCTGGCTTCCGCAAGCCTTACGGGCCCCCGCAGTGGCTGCCTACTGAGGATCCCTTTACGGCATAATATCCGCTAAAAGAACCCTGCGAATACCCGCTAAGCTGCTAAGTGTGAAACAGCGGGATCCCCGTTTGGAGTTCTGCCGCGCGTCTCCGCACCCAACAGCCTCCCTACCTAGCCGTAGCGTAGCTCCATGGCAGGGGTATTGCGAGAACCCCGCAGACGTGCATGAGCTTAGTAGCCAGCCGCGTGCGAGGCTTATTCCTAACATTGGACTGAAGATAATATCCAGAAACATAAGCCACATGTTACGAGTCCTTTGTCTCAACTAGTTTCCGATATCACCATGTCGCTTGATAAACTTGTGCTGTTTGCACGGAACAGTTATCAATTAGCGCATTGTTCATTGTTTCTTTTGTTCCAAGCGTAGCATACTACGATCCCTCATTAGAGACCAAAATAAAAACAGCCAAAGTGTGAATGGGACTTATGCACGAAGCGAAGGTTTCGACGGAATACAAATATAACTTAGAAAATAAGTACATACGTTAAAAATGGCGTCTAAATGCAGTTTTCTCTATGTACGAAAATAAATATTTAAATCTTAAAAAGATATCACTATAATTCCTACGGGATTCGAACCCGCCGCCCGGATAGCGGAAGGTGCAGGTTCGAATGCCAGTATAAAACCTGTATCGAGTAGATTTTAGTTCATAACATACAGACCACGTACTGAGCTGACTCTCATTGATAAGGTTCTGCTGTTGGTTGACCTTTCCGTACGAATACAGAACTCTAATAAAAAAATGCAGCAGATACAAACAATTCAAATTCATTCACTGTAAAGGTGACGACGTGGTATGCAGACGCCATATAACCACGCTGGTACTCCAACCAACAGTGTTCGGTTTATTTTACCAAAGCCTTACCCCAAGTTACGGTACAAGTTACCAACTTAAACACTTTAGTTGATATACGAGCTAGAACAGTTCGTGTGATGACCTAACTTTGTCTTGCTAATATTACTTGCAACTTATTGCGTGTAACAGACATTAAGACGTGACGGACAAATTTGGGTCATAACAAATGTCGTGGATTCTGTCAATAAATTAATGTTTACGATAGGATTGGTAATGGTGCTTTTATATGGAAGTCTATCTATTTGAGCGAAGATTAGACTATGCCAAAGGCCGCAGGTACCGCCGCGGGTACTCGTGAGGCAATTCGCTTTAGGTAGCTTTCCGCACATCTAAAATTGACCGTGAAAATGCGTCTTATAATATAAGGCAACATTATTAATAAATAATTGTACTAGATAAAATATCAAGTGGGTCCAGTCAGTAGACGGAGCTCGAATCCGCTCACTCCGCTATCCGGGCGGATACACTTACGAGAGCGCGTGAATATTTTTATAAGTAAAGATTTATTTAGATTTTTAATTCTAGCAGTAACACTTAAAATAAATACACTCGAAAGCAATGAATACGGGTCACCTAAAGAATCCTAAAAATCTCGCAAACTAATAATGCTAGCTTAATGAAATAAATTCTAATGAAAAGATAATTAAATACTCCTTAAATGAAGATATTAAAACTTCTTAGTTACGCTTCGTGAGCTCAAACTTGCTCTCACAGAGGAATGGGAGAATATTCCCCAAAATCGTATTGGTGTACAGCATGCCAAACCGGGTAAACGCAGTAATGGAAGCACGACGAAGCAAAACGAAGTATTAAAATTAATGAAAATCGTAATGTTGTTCAAAAATGTCATGTTTACTATTTCTGTTTTAAGGCGAGATCAGTCACTATTTTCTCTTTATATATTTTTTTGTAAATAAAATGTGGTTACTTATAAATGTTATTACTATCATTTAAGGAGTATTAAATTGTCTTTTAAACACAATTTATTTCATTAAACTAGTATTCTTAGTTTGCGACATTTTTAGGATTCTTTATGTGACCCGGATTCATTGCTCTCGAGTGTATAATACACTAACATTATTAAAAAATTAATTTATTGTGAAGCTTAGAAGTTAGCGGATCTACAAACATACGCCGGAATTGGCTTTATTTTTCAATAATATTAGTAGATTTAAATTGTTCAACCTAAGAGTAAACGCTAAGGACTTGACATAACATCACCCAATATTGGTTTAGCAGTACCTATTTAAATTCATGCCGTTCCTCAGCAGGAGGCTGGTGCTGCCTGATTTTTGTGTATTGTTATTCTGCGGGCAGTGCGCCAAGCATTCTTTGGGTACGGTAACGTTTGCAACATAGCTGCTCAAATACGAACGCCGAATTTTTGACAACAGGGGACGTTATTAAGCACGAACGTATGTACTCGAGTATATAAAATTATGATTTGCTGTCTGCAGTGAAGCATTTAACCCGGCGTTTGCCCTAGGCAAATACGGACACCAACGCTCGCTACCGGGTGAAATTTACCACATAATCAAAAAATGTTTATTTTATTAAATTGTAATATAAATTGAAGTTATTTATTTTCCTTGGTTTGTATATACTATAAACTAAAAAATAAAAGTGTTATTTATTTGTAAATTAGTATTTATTGTTATTTAAGACCCGAACATTATTAGGACCCAAAATCTCAACTTCTTTCTTATTAATCTTAAAAACTTAACAATATTTTATATTTTTTCTTTGGATTCGTATGCAAAATAAGATCAGATAATAAAACTACATAGAAAGCTCTTATCAAATAATAAACACAATTTGTACTTTTAAACGAACATATTTTTTATTACGTACTCTGTGGTATTTTTTACCCAGTAGCGACGAACCCCGGGTAAAATATGTAAAAAATAATATTTTTAAATAAATGCTGGACACTGTCACAACAATTATTTAGCCTCAAAGCAAGTATAGTGGCTTGTGTTCTGGGATACTAGGGAAACGGATAGAAACATATATTCTGATACACATATAAGTATATTTGTTTAGAAATATATATTATACATCCATGACTGGAGTACAAATGTATATATGCATATTCATCACATAAATATCTACCCCCACCGGGATTCAAATTCGATGTAGGCAACACCAACAAGAATTATTTTTTTGTCCTTGTTACTATATTCTCGCTCTCTCTCTCTCTCTCACGTAGAATGGCGGTTTTGTGTTTACCGTGTCTCCACGAATAAATTTAATTTCTTCCATAAAACTGTTACCTTGCTGCCCGCGACGCACCTGAAAATCCTGACATTCGGGACCTCTCGAGTAGGCGATACCTTAAAACCCGGCATACAAACCACTCGGCGACGGAAGTCGTCATGTCATATAAACATTTATGACAAGACATGAAGAGCTTGTAGGCGGTCATCGGCTGATCACCGGATGAGTGATCAAAAAGTTATTATGTCAAGGCATGTTAGGCCGTTGTTTCCAGTTGCACCTGCAGTCCACCCACTAATTCGCACTGGGCCTGCGTGGTGGGTCATGGTCCTATCTCCCTGTTCCATCCCTAGGGGAGGCCTGTGCCCGAGCAGTGGGGACATTAATACACTGATGATGATGATGATGATACACGACAGGTAGGAAAATTCACGTGTTCATTACACAAGCATTTGCCCCTCCAGGGTTCGAACTAGGGGCTACTGGATTAGCAGTTAGTATCACTAACCGTTAGGTAATGCGGGCTTTCGGGCGGTAGTATAAGTATGAATAGAAAAACCTTTTAACGTGCTTACTTTGTGCTTCCCCAGATTGGTTACAGCGCAACCGAGTACAGCTTCTCGGCCTAGAAAGAAGGTGTGGTTCCCTATGGGTCTCTCGAACTCCGGCTCCTCCGAAAACTTCTTGGTCGTCATTTGAGAATCTGTAACAAAACAGGGGCTGATTAAAAACTGAATTGGTTTCCCACCCAACTTTTAGATGACTAACTTTGCGCTTCCTTAAACCGTCGAAGATTTGAAGGTAATTTAACAGAAGTTGTTTTTGGTTTTACCTAATACGGCAGCGTTTTAAAAGTTTGCGGATGTTGCCGCCGATATTGAGTTTTTGCCTCCTGAATGTTTTATGGTTACTTAATCTCGCTCAAACATTTTATAAGTATGCCGAGCGGAAGTGAAAAATTAAACAATTTTCTTGGGAAAAGGTTCCATGCTTGGAAGGCGAAGATGGTTTGCATTAACATGTGTTTTGACAATTTTTATAATTTTATTATTTATCTATTTGCAACGACGATATTAAATACCCTAGATACACCAACACAAACAAAATCATGCCCGAAACCTGTCCACAAGGTACATTGGACGATCCACGGAGCTCCGTAAGATGATCGCGTAGTCTAAACAATATAAGGCATTATTTAAACATTGAAAATCACCTTTAAACATACTATATAAGGTCTTAATTAAAACGCACGCGTCAAAGAGTTATGACAGTCCAATATGTAAGCTCGTAAAATTTTACGACTTATTGCTACATGCAGAAGAATAAAGACCTTATTTCTTAGACTCTACGCGCAATTCTGAATGCGCTATTAGTAATATAGCAGGTACAGTCCGCGAGGAAAAGGGACGGCTATATTATCGACCATGCATTTGAATATCACAAATATTTTCTATTAAATCAGTTTATAGTAAGTATTAAAACAAATTTTACTTCAAATGCGTTAAATTAACAAACATTGATTAGATACCTGTCGAAGAAACGACAATTTACATTCTATAAGTATTTTTTTCGCCTGTTTTCACGGACTGACAGCGGAATGTTGACTTTTCAACAGTCCGCGCGTGACTGTGAATCAAGAAGTGCTTGAGTCGTGTTCAAGCACTTTTTGTTTGGGACACGTTTTGAGCGCACGTGGTGTATCTAGGGTATTTAATATCGTTGATTTGCAAGCTCATAGTAAATTAACTCTACCTTTTGGTGGTGTTGTGTTTCTACTGGTGAGTAGGGTTCTAGGGCTCCGCGGGGTAGGGGATTAGATTTAGGCCGACAAGGTGAGATAGGTGTACACTGAATATCAAGTCTGGTGGGGTAATTTGTTGCACATCGTATAAAAAAGTCATTATGATAGCAATGGTTTGTTAATGTAATAGCCGTTTTAATATGTCACACAGTCAGAACTCATAACCGGTAAAAACTACGTTTGACTGTGAAAATTATTTACAATAAATTATTATTAACTGTTTTAACTGAATTTTGTAGTAGAAGGAGTAAAAAGTAGTCGGTAAATCCTGAATGACAGAATTTAGAATGTCAATCAATAAATGGTTGACTTAGTTTAAATTTCACAAGAAACCGAAAATTAGGTAAAGTATTATCACACTAATATTATAAAGGCGAAAGTTTGTGAGTGTGTGAGTGTGTATGTTTGTTACTTCTTCACGTCTAAACTGCTGGAGCGATTTTAATAAAATTTGGTATGGAGTTAGCTGACATCCTGGATTAAGACATACATTTTACTGCGGGAAAATATCCCTAATAAAACGCGGGTAACGCCGCGGGGCACAGCTAGTTACAGATAAAAACGGCACTGAACGGTCCATTTCACAAGTGCACGAGAAAGGCCACAGTGCGGGACGAATGGCGGCATATTGTGAAGCACGCCACCATCCCTGATGTGACGACCACGACCACTCTGTCAAGAGTGTAGTGACGAAGAAAAAAAAATATTACCATGCTGAGCAGAGAGAGTGAAGCGAGCCAGACTTTTTTATTAGTCATATAGAAAAATTAAAATATTATCACAAAAAAAATTATAACTGCATTATCAAAAATTCATAAAGGTGGAGCTCGAAGGCGCAGCTGGTTAGTGCATTCGGCCTGCGATCATGAAATTGAAGCAATCATTGGATGTGCGAGCAGAAACTTAATATCTCGAGTTCGTTCGTGCTTCGGAAGGTACGTTGAGCCGTTGGTCTTGGCTACAGTCGTTAACTCCACCAATCCGCGTGGGGGTGAAGACCCAGTCTCCCTATTCCATCCATAGGAAAGGCCTGTGTTCCAGCAGTGGTAACATTAATAGGTTGGTGAATTACTGATGAATCATTAACGAATCCCATAACACAAGCCTTACTGCTTACTTTGGGGCTAGGCTAATGGGTGTGAGTGTTGGAGATATTTATTTATTTATTATTTGTAAAGTTTTCGCTGTTACATTTGTCGTAGATACAATACGGTTAAATAATTCCATAATTCCACAGTAAACTATTCTAAGCCCAACTCAATATATATCAAATTCAATTTGTCACCTCAAATTTTAAATTATAAATACAAGCCAAGCCAGGTAAGCGGTGTTATGACAGCCCTCTTGAAAATTCAAACTGTATTTGCATAATATTCAGCTTAAAATTCAAAGTTTGTGAAACATTATGACCAACTAGTACTTTGTATTCTTCGTCGTTTAATTAAAATTTGCAAAATATTTTAAAATAAGTACTTATAAAATATTTTACTTGTGCAAGAAATAAAAAAGTTTAGTTGGAAACGTATTAAATTATGGAAATCAAATACTTATATACGTTACTTTCAGATTACAAATAATGTAGAAACAACGAATAACATATATATTCAGTTCAAAAGCCATAATTGTTAATATCAAAATGCTAATAATTTTGTTTAAAATAGTCAAAACCTATCAATAAAACAACCAAACAACATTTTATTTGTTACCGTTCGAGATAAGATTTGTGTTAATTTTGAACTTCAAGTCTTTAACAATTATTTGAAAGCCTTATAGTGGTATTTTGAAATAAATTAAAAATATAAGTAACATTCACAATAGCGCAATACCTAAATAATATATACTTTTTATAGTTTTAACTATGTAACAGCGCATAAAATTATTCCTCCTTAATTATCCAATATTACAGCTCTATTAACTGATTCAACGTTAAGTAACTATTTGACCAATACTTGCTTTTAATAACTTGGAACAGAGTTCAAAGTTGGTCTGAAATAACTAGAGAAACTTGTAACTTTGCGCGGAATTCCCTTTGTTATTACTGCTATGAAGTTTTAAACTTCAAAAATGTAAGGCGTCGTCGTCCTAATTAGCCATGATCGTACGATGACACGATGCGATCTCGTCGTGCAATGCAAATAAATCATACAACGATAATTATATCGCGTGATGCACACTGTGCGATACTGTCCCACGATGGTGTCGCACCGCCATCAACTCACCAGCGCCATTTTATCAATGTCCCTTTATAGAGATGCACATTTTTTGCTGTGTTGCAATATTCTTCTTCATCTTCTTACGTTTTTTCACGCCCGATCAACTGTGATTGTTGTACAAAACGCAAGTGCGGTCCTGCGTGGAATATTGCTCGCGCCTCTGGGATGGCTCCGCCAAGTACTTGCTCGATGCTTTGGATAGGTTACAGCGGCGCGCGATCCGCATCATAGGCGATGAGGAGGTGACTAAACACCTTGAGCCTCTTCAATTACGCCGTGACGTGGCGTCACTAAGCGCGTTCTATCGTCTGTACCACGGCGAGTGTTCTGAGGAGTTATTCTCTCTTATCCCACCTTCCTCTTTCCTTCAGAGGACCACGCGCTGGCCTACGTTATCACCGTCTTGCTGTGGCCACAATTCCAACGCGTACAAAGAAATTTGGTAAGTCATTTCTTTGTCGTACTATCCGTAAATGGAATGCTCTGTCCGCTCACGTGATTCCTCCCCCTTACAACCTGGGATCCTTTAAAAGAGGCGTGAAGAAGCAACATGCAGGCCGGCAGAGTGAGGATGGCTGGTGTGGCAGGTAGAACTGCTGTATCAGCTATCTTCGCGTCTGGACTTCACTTTCACTTAACATCAGGTGGGGTGGAGTCATTTGTCGGACCTATCTATATATAAAAAAATGGACCAAAATATGCACGATGGTTATTAAATCATGCCTGAGCTCGTGCGAAGGCGTATGAGTGGTAATTAGGATACATTTGAAAAATCTCTATGATTGAAAATCATCGCACGACAAGAACGCATCGTGCGATCGTTGCCAATTAGGACGAAGCCTAAGGTACATACTTGGCAGGTATTTTGTGAGCTTACGAAATTACTTAAGCCTTGAAATCCAAAGGATGGACGGACGCGAAGCCTGAAACTGAGGCATAAATTATGTAGATCGGAGGGTAGACATTACGATCCGACGAGTTAATGAAGTAATTTTTAACAGTAAAGGTTAAATAAAAGGTACCTATCGATTTAACATTTTCATTGTATGATATCATTGAATTAGACAACGTAACTAAATCTTTTACCTTTTTATCAATTAACGAAGGGTTAGCTTGTTTAGTTACACACTGTATTGTTTATGTCACTAAAATAACAATTGTACTAAGTTGGGACAATATCGAGATGGAAGAATTACAGCTGAATTATTATGTTGTGATACTTAACTCTAATTTGTTACGGTTTGCATTAATAATAACTAGACAGACCTATAACATGCTTGAAATAGTAATATCTGTTGTGTCAAGTAGAAATCCTACTCTTAGTCGGGTAACTATCCATACTTTATATTATAATTGCGATAATAATTATGTCCGTTTATGTTTCTGTTTATTACGATAGTACAACTTATGCAATAAACTTTTGACTAAGTTAACACCACCAATGTTAAACTTACTTATGTCGAATGTGTAATGACTCAGCAAACCTGTCCGAGTTTTAGACATCAGACTAATATTATAAAGGCGAAAATTTGTGAGTGTGTGAGTATGGTTTGATACTTCTTCACGTCTAAAAGACTGGAGTGATTTTAATAAAATTTGGTATGGAGTTAGCTGACATCCTGGATTAACACATAGACTACGTTTTACCGCGGGAAAATGTCACTAATAAACCGCGGGTAACATCGCGAT